AATTTCTTACAAACGTTAAAAATCTCAAAGGTATAAAGAAACTTACGATGCGAAGAACGCTGTCAGCCAGCGGATAGGCGCATCTTTCTTTCAAGATTCGCCGCACGCGAAAATAAATCGCGGAGGACACTATAAATACAATCGATGGAAATCGGACGAACGAGCCACGATGACCATCTGCGGCCAGAGAATTAACACAATGCGATTTCCGTACGGTTTCGGAACTGATCACCGTCCCATGGAACGATTTGCCGATTATCTGTGCGAACTGCGCTCACGCGGACCCCGCGGACGAAATCTTTTTCTACCTCCTACTGGCGAGAGCTCGTGAAAACAGTGCGTGCAGCCGCACTTAAATATAGCGGAAGACACATTTTTCGATCGACTAACCAGGACGGCGATGCATGCGAATGCAAAAGCGCACTGTGCGCCGCGCCTCAAACAACCGAAATTGGTGGAGTCATCTGTGCACCGTAGTGTCAACGCTGTTGTTCGTCATCGGCAATACAGTCCCTTGCAAATCGTAATCATCGCTTATCTTCAGCAATGATTACCTGGGATTGCCTGGGCTGATAGGTAAAAGATAAAATTCTTTTCACACACGGTCGGTGCGATAAATTTAATCTTATCTTTTGTATCTTTTGTATGTACATATACGTGTATCGCGCGATGTAGCGCCTTTAAATGACTGAATTTATGCCTATCAATAAATATTTGGAGTTGCGTAAAAAGAAAAGCGATTCGAAAAGTTTTCCGATATAAAGATTTTTGGTTTAAATTCTTTTCATAAAGCATCTAGGGCGATTTGAAAAATTGATGGAGATTATGAATAATAAGTATCGGTCGGTAAAGTAGATCGGCGATCTCAGTATCGCCGCTTGAAAACGAGCCTGCAGCCAAGTGCAACAGATAGACTAACACAAGTTCGAGTTCTATTCTTTTTTTTTCCCCCTATATAGTCGATGCGTTTGATACACACGGCCTACGTTTTCGTACCTTAACCTCACTTGAATCTGCGATGTGGCACTTGGTGTTTTAACATATTTTGCACGTTTGCTCGTGAGGGATCGATTCGATTTAAATGAATAATGGTCAGAGCGTAGTATCACAGTGACAAACGTGTTTTGATCAAAAAGGAGCGAAACCTTTTGACGGATATGAATGTACATACTTAGCGAATAAAAAAAAAAAAAAA